TTATAAAACAAACATTAGAATGCTTGTAAATTATATGGAGGCAGTTAATGTTTAAGATCATTATAAGCTATAACTCATTTGCAAGAAATAACAACTTACAAAGTTATGAAAAGAATTTTCTTCTCATATTATGAGTATATTAATTATATAATCACATTAAGTCCTTGATTTACGACATCCTTTAATACGATTTTTCGACTTACGACACGATATAAATTTCGACCATTTTTATTCGGCTTGCGACATTTTTATTTATTAAATTTTTTTAACAGATTTTACTGATTTTTAAGTAAAAACCTTTACCAAATTTAGCTATAAAGCTAGTAAAGCGATATACTTCATTAATAAACTCTTTCTAGTAAACTAGTATTTTTATAACAGCTAACTAGTAACAGTAGTTAAAAATACGAATTGAAGTGATATACACGTCAACTTAATCAGATTTTTGCTACAAAATTAAATTTTTTTTGGTTTCGTGATAATATTTTCTAGGTTTTTTTTATAAGCTTTGTTACCTTTTTTTAAAAAGCAGATGAATTATAATATAATATATTTTGCCTAATTCAATTTTTGTTTCCATACTTTCTTTTTCCTTTTCAAACGACAATTCGACTTACGATACAAATTTCTGGAACCAAAAATCCTTGCCTAATTTTTTTTTAAGATAAACTTTGTTAAATTGGGGTGATCATTGTTACTGGCTAATATTTGGGGTGCTTTATACTATTCGGACAAAATAAACTTTTCAAGCACATATCACTTTTCTAAAACAGACAAAAATTTCTCTTTAGATCCTACATAATTTCGCCTTCCCATTCATACCCCATACTAGGTATGTAGTGTTCTAATTAGTAACCAACAACCTGTTAATGAAGTGACCAAACTAAGAAATTATTTTAATGTGATAGAAAAGCTCAAAAGGAGATAGCACTGGTTTGATCTGTTACACTACAGTTATTTTTAGAAAATGTTAATCAAAACTGGAGCCAATGTGAAAAAATAAATATGTAGAGTCCAACATCACAGGTTTTTTGATATGCAAATTTTTTCTTTCCCATTATTTAAGCTTATTAAAATAATTTCTTTAAAACATAATCTTCGTGAACTTTTTATCACATATTTATGTTTTCCCATTAAAACCACTTCACAACTATCCGTGTACAACAAGTATTACACTCCCACCTAGTCTATTTATTTAACATAACATCAGTAACTGCTAATTTAAAATTTCAAATGAATGGCACTTATGACAATCCTAAATTTATTGTAATAAAATCAAATAATAATTATGTTTTTTAAATATTAAACATTGGAATAATTTCCTCCTTCTCTCCCTCTACCAACAAAATAAAGAAAACAATGTACCATGAAAATTAGGTATAGTGTAAGAAAAATTTATTTATTTGAACTCTTTGTAAGAAAAACAACAATAATTAATATTTCATCCCAACTCAATACCATTTTAAATAGACACTTTTACAAAGTTCAATAACATTAAAAAAAATGCTAATAATTACTTTTCTGAAAGTTACGTGTAAAAAAGGTACAGAAAAGTAATGGCTACCTACTAATAGACCCACTAATAGATATTTCAGAAAAAAAAGGTTCTATACAAATATTTTAGTGAACTTAATTTGTAAATTTTTGGACAATAATTTATTCAACAATATTCCAACATTAGATCATCATTGTTACAAAAATGTTATGCTAACTGAAGATATTAAAATTTATTCTTGTGTGTGTGTATGCCATGTATTTCTGTAGTTACCTGGTACTTTACATAAAAACTACTTACAAAAATTTTCAAAAAAATGAAAGGAAATGAATTTTTTAAAAATTTGGGCGTTTCTACTTTAATGTAATCTACAAATTAGGAGTCAATCATATTCCCTTTTTTTTTTCAGATAAAAAAATTGAACAAACTTATTTTGACACTACTATACACTTTTCAATACGATTTATATTACTAAATGATCAAATCAAGAGCATCAAAAGTTAAAAAAAGGTCTTTTCTGCCATTTTTGCAGATATTTTGAAAGCTTGGAGAATATGAACCTTGGTTTAACTGAGATTGTGGTATTCTGAAAGGCCGCTTAATTGATAAGTATGAAAGAACGTTTTTTATTCTTTTCTTTGCTTGTCAGAATTTTCCATACTTTAGAAAATTAAAGAAAATATTACTTGTAGGAAAAAAGCATAAGACCTTATAATGATTAATAAGATTTTGGAACTACATTTCTCATTTGTTTTTGGTTCTTCTTGCATATCTCATATCCAATGTATTTTTGTCTAAGATTCGCTTCATTTGCATAGAAAATAGTTTTCTTATTTATTATTGCAAAAATATTATCATAAATGATAATGTTTACTTAGATTTAATCCGATTTGTCCTCGTTAACTAGAATATTATATATAATCTTCAAGACACACTTCCCTTTATCAATTTGAATCTATAAACATAGAACTTTTATTTACATTCTTTATGTAAATAAAGTGAAACAAAAATCTAATTAATGAAAACGATTTTTTCATATAATTTTGCATAAATATAGGAGAAATATTAAAGTAAGAATTATCAAAAAATTAATATTATACTAATAGCTATCAAAATTGATTATATGCAATATCATTATATAACAGACTGACAGACATGAGCGCAAACTTATTCATATTGATTATTAGGTCAATATTAGGGCACCAAGAAATTATTTTTAAATCATGAATAAAGAAAACCGTAAGATTAATAGAAAGAATCTTCTTAAAAATTTTCATATGAACATGTGGTTATTTTGGGGACCACAGAATTCGCCATAATATGTGATGAAACTGATGAAGGGAACAGAACTTTGTATTTTCTTAGAGCAAGGTGAAATTTTGTCCAGTTTAGAAAGCCATCTGGAAGTTTTAAAAATTTCAACTACAAAATAGTTACGTCATGTGGTACAAAGTCAAAAGGCTTGCCCATCTACCATGGGTTTTGTGAAAAAGTTGCACCTCCTCGGTTAAATGTTAAAGTAATAGAAATTTGGTAAGACATTCCGATTCCATAAAATTCCAACTTTCTTAGAGTATGCACGCACAATTGTTTACGTATGCATAATCACGCAATATGTACGTAAGTGATTTATACAACAACATATACCATTGCTTAGAAGATCGAAAATGAATAAAACTTTTGTTCCGGACTGGATGCCAAATCTTAAGGGTTTTCGATTTTCAGGGTACTGAAAAAGATAAGAAATTCAAACAAACAGTTTCAGGAAAGCTTAGTAAAGAACTTAAATTAGACATGCTGCTTGATTCTGTATTTTATGTACCTTCGGAATACCAAGAATTCGAACTTTAAAGAAAATAAAAATTTTCCCTTGATTTTTTCGTAAGAAATTTTTTAAAACCTTAAAGTTTTTTTTTATTATATCGAAAACCATTACGTCAAGATTTTGAAGACCCTTAAAGGCAAGGACTTTAGGCGTTGTAGTTATAAACTATCAACTATCACTAATTTTTGGTGACAATAGTCACTCGAAAAAACAGTTGACATTTTAAAAACCCGTTATATTGATAAAAAATCCGAATTTCAATGTTTTAATTGAAATGTGACAAATAATAACAAAATTGAAACGAAATTTTACACAAACTTTTAATTTTAAATACAAACATTAATTTAAAAAAATTTGAAATTTTTAAAAGAGAAACTAGAATTTTATATAAAAAACAAATCTAGTAATCAAAAAATTTTTTTCGAAACTTTTCTTGGTAAAAAAAAATGATAGGTTTTTTAATTTTTGCCAATTTTTGTAAGAAATGGTACCTATATGGTTTGAAATTTTTAAATGCATTTTTCTCAGATTGGGTGCAACTTAAAAATTTGAAAAAAATATTTTCGAAATCTAGACACCATTTGGCATCTGAAGTTATTAAAACTAACCAGCTGCAGTGAATTTTAAAAGACATGCCATGCAAATTTTGACATTTATTTTAATTGAAAAAAAAACATTTTTAATAGGAAAATTTAATTTTATTGAACAAAATGGAGTTTGTAGTTTTGAAGATAATAAATAATTAATAAATAATTTAATGGGATTAACAAAATTCAAACATATTGCTACAAAAACTAAATTGGCATGCGGTTGATGCAACTAAAGACGTGTTCCGGTAAAGCAATTTATTAAAAATATGCGATTAAATATGGATAGAATATGAATAGAAATCATTGAATATGAATAAAAATAGATTTGAAAAAAGAAAAACATAAATTTTTGCAGAGCTAGGTGAATTTCATAGGAGAATTTGGTGTTCGTTTTGAGAAATTTGTAAAAATTTTGGATAGGGAATTCGTATTTTTCCAAAGTTTTTGATAAGAATATTAACTTGAATTTAATTTTAATTCACAACACCTGGTTTGATTTTAATTGAATTTGTGGCTCATAATTTTGGTAGTTTTTGTATTATATCTTCTGGAACATAAAATTTTTTTAATGTTTGGGTACTTTAATTAAAGTTTTAACAGCTGGGAAATATTCTATAAAAAAAATTCAAGATTTTAAAAAATTTCTTACGAAAATAATTTCGTGAAAATTCGTTAAAATAACTGGAACATGGAAGTCCTTGGGATTTGGCACCCAATCTGGAACTAAAGTTTTATCCATTTCGGAATTTCTAACCAATGGTGTATGTTGCTGTATAACTTGCTTTATCACCCTGTATATGTATATAAGTACATAGAAACCTATGAGCGGAGACATAAAAAACAAAATTTATTACTATACTTCTGTTTCTAAATATTTTTGAATTGCATATGTATGTACATTATAGGAATAAACTTGCTTTCCGCTTTTTATAAAAACAACATAAAAAAAATGGAACCACTAAGGCCTAGAGTAAAGTTTTCCTCTTCACATTTTAAATCATATCAAATTGAAAATGCATAAATGTAGGCGATTTCAAATTCTAACATGTATATTGCATGCAGTTTATGCAAAATTTACATAAAACATGGGAATATAAGCAATGTATTAAAATTAGACGGTTAGATTTTATTGGATAAACGATGTTTTATTTTCATAATATAACTGGCAACATATTGTTGCTCTTCGTCAAGAAAATCAATTTAATATCCTACTTTAATATTAAACAAACAAGCTGTAACAATTTCCTAAAACTTTACAATTTTTTATCTACTTGTTGCTCATACTTTCTTTCACTTCTTTTGGAATTTGATCTACTAATAATTGATGTGAAACATCAGGTGCTGTAGCTAATACACCATTTTTGTTCGGGAATTCAACATCAGCATTATACTGGTAATGCTCTCCTGAAATATCAGTTAATACGCCACCATGAGCCTCCAAAATTGCCTCTGGAGCACAGGTATCCCACTTTTTGCATCCAGCGCTTGCGAAGACATATGCATGCGCTTTGCCTTCTAGAAGCTGTAAAACTTTAAAACCAGCTCCACCAACTCGTATAACTTCGGTTGGATTTATTGCATCCAAAGCATTTTTAACAAGATTATTAAAATGTGATCGAGTTGTTGTTACAATAAATTTGCTACTATCTAATTTTTTCGAATTAAACCCATCTACACCTAAACCTTTTAATCCCCAAATTGTTCGACCAATTTCGCCATTAGCATTTTGATAATATGGTTGGTGTATAACTCCACCTACTGCAGAACTTTGAAAAGCAATACCAATTAATACTGTAACATGTTCCAAAAATCCTTGGGTGTATTCCGAAGTTCCATCTAATGGATCAACCCAAACAACTAAATCTTCCTCTTTAATGTCTTTAAGATAATCTGGACAACTATTTTTTGTAATAAATTCAACATCAACTTCGGTAACTAGCATGTCGTCTGGTACATTAGACGTGTGTGCATTTCCCTCCTCTCCAATAATTTTAATATTTGGAAATTGTTTTGACACTGATGCAATTATACATCTCTGTGCTGATCTATCTGCTTCAGTCTGTAGATCATCTTTACCCTAAAACAAACACAATTTTCATTTTTCTGTTTACATGGAACTATTTTACATACCTCTTTCTCTACTATATCTAACTGACCAGATTTCATGATATCTCTAATTATTCCCCCTGCTCTTTTGGCTGCACTAATTGACAGTCCCATTAATTTCATTACAGTAGTGGTGGCCATTTCTTAATTCGATTAAATTTAGCTAAAATGAATATCCATTAGTTCAGTGAGATCAAATAAAGTAGTAATCAAATTGTAAATTATTTGACAGTTACAACGTAAATATTGTGTAAAACTTTACAAAGTCTTTTATGTAGTATTGAAGTTTGGACATATGACGTCATCGGGAAGAAGTTAATTGGGAAAAAAATTTTTATATCACTCCATATAAAACACCTTCCCAATCGTAAATTTTTTGAAAATAACGGTTGTCTTCAGCTACTAAAAATTGTTTGAAGAAAAATATTATCTAAATTTAATTTAAAGACAGACTTTGGTTTATACAGAAAAAAATATGTAAAACAATAGTAGTATAGATTTTTTTTCTTCTCTGCCGATAAACAAAAGTATGTGTTTTAATGTAATAAGCAGGACACTTACCGTGACTTAACGATTTTCTTTCTAGAATATTGAGAAAATTTTATTATCAAAACGCTACATTTCCGTAAGCAGCAACTTAGGTTATTAATTGCTTCTTTACCTAATTTTTCACATTCATTGAGCAGCCAAACAATTTTTTTCGCTATAAAATATGTCTTTGAAATTATAAACAAAACACAATTACATATTATTGATTACACAATTACATATTTTATATATTAACAAAAAAATATGTATTGATCATATAAATATTTTTTTTGTTAATATATAAAATTTAATGTTTACAATATATTATTTTTACCATTAAATAATTGTTTTTCAATACATAGAGGATCTTCAATTTAACCTATTACATATATTAATTCAATATTATGGATATTTGCTTATTATGGATTTTTGCATATTATGGGTGGATTACTTCTTAATGTTTTTTTTTCGAATAGAAAAATTGCTTTCTTCGTCAGTGTATACACTAAAATATCACATAACACAGTCCATTTTCTTTTGCTTTCAAATATTTTCCTTTAACAGTCTGAATAAACAAGGAAAAACCCGCTGTTTTTAAGTTTAGAAAAACAAATTCTGTAGAGTTTTCAAAGACCTTTGCAATAATAAAGCGACAAGATACATATACCACTGAACAGTCAGAAATCTTTTTAATATAATATGTATATAAACTTTGGCGCGATTTATTTTTTTTATCATATTGAACATATCATATTAGCTGTTAAAGCGTAAATATAAATAAAAAGTTTATACCAAAAATGCCAAGAATGAAGGAAATTTAAATTGAATTTTCAATAAAAATGGGATTTTATACATCTAAAATATTAAAATATATTATATTCTAATGGGAGAACAATTTTTATAATTTGATCAATTTGTAATAAAAATGAATTTGTGATGAATTCAAAGTTTGAGAAATTTTCTGTTTTCAAAAAAGACATGTGTAAACAACACCATTGCACAGACAATCTGTCATTTCGGACGCATTGCTTTTCTGTCCGTTGCATGGGTTTTGTCTTCATGGGGCTTATTTTGTTTACTAACAATTCACAAATTAAATTGTGTAGTTCAAATCGTAGACTTTTTACTTCCAAAATATTTTTCATTAGGTGTTCTTATAAGCTTAGCTTAATAAATGATTATTAAATTTTGTAATGAGTGAATCGGATGACACTGAATTATTGTTATTGATTCCGCCTGATTTGTTTTTGTTGAAGGAAAGTGAGAGTGACTTTAGCTCCAGATCAAGTGTGATTAAAACACAGAGCCCTTTTTGCGATTGTTCACTGGATGTTAACAGATTTTTTGATAAAAACAATAACATAGAGCACAATCCAGATATGGCGTCACACTGTTATAATTTGCCTTATCAACAACAAAATGAAATAGATAGAATTAATGCAAAAATTTCTCAGGTAGAAAGAAATTTCACTGCAATGGATTCCGACATGTCCACGACCTCGAATCCAACTGTTCTGACCAAATCTGTGAAACAACCAATGAAAGATGCATTTTCAACGGATTATTTCTCAACAAATATTACTACTTCCACACCAAAGCATTTAAATTTTCATCCAAAATATTATGAAAATATAGGAGAGGATAATGGAATTCTAAAAGAGATTGATAAATATCTGGAGGAAAAAGTTCAAACAGATGAATCGAACAAATACCCAAATGAACACAATAAAGTTTTTTTCCGAAATGGACCCAATATTGATCGTACTTCTCTAAATAACACGCTTGAAACTATTCACATTTCCAACAACAATAAAGTTGATCAGTGCTCCTCAAATACCCTTATCAGTCTTAGTGAGCTGTGGGAGAATAAAAATATAGGAAATGTTTCTTCAAATATCTTACTCAAACAGCTTCAAGAAGAAAAATTACGCCGCCAGCACTGTGAAAAAACAATCCAAGCTTTACAAATAAAGTTGCTTGAGTATCAACAAAAAATTTCTGTTGCTTTACAAGTCGATAAAGTAAAAGATAACGCTATTGGTGATTTAAAAGATGAAAATGAGAAGTATATTAACAAGTAACACTATATTTGCAGAAAAAAAATATTTTCTATTACAGGCTAAAAAATAACCTACAAAAATTAGAAAATTCCCTAAAGGAAATTGAAACTAAGTGCAAGAATGATAATGAAAAATTACAAAATGAAGTATTAGATATAAAAACAAGCAAAGAGTGTTTAGAAAAAGAACTATCGCAGGCCTTAAATTTAGCTGCTAAATTTCAGGACAAAAATGAAATTTTGGAAATAAAAATAGAAAATTTTACGAAGTAAATAAATTTTAATTAATTTATTTCGAGCTATGATTAAAAGTATTGTTTTTTTAAGGTCAACTGATGAAATGGGGTTATTGTACAAAAAACAAATTGAAGATATGGAAATTCGGGTAATTAACGCAGAAAAATCAGAAGATATCGCAAACACAGAACTGAAGAAGATTCAAGATATTTTGGTCAAAACACAACTTGATCTTGAAAAGGTATTAAAATAATCTTACTTTAAGTTATTCTATTCACTAATAAGCACACTATACATATATATTCCAAAGGCTTCCATGCAAATGTCGGTTTTTAAAAAACAAGCTGATTCCCTTCAAATAAAATGCCAACGTTTAGAAAAAATGGAAGAACAAAATAAAGGTTTGAATGAATCCCTTCTAAAATTGACAAGACGTGAGGTGAGAATATAAATTAAAAATTTTCGTATGAACAGTTATCAGCTTTTTAATATTTAGAATGAATTGCTAAAGGAGTTGGAAACACAAAAAATTGCATTAAAAACCCATTATCAGCACCAACTTGAAAGGGTTGTGGAGCAGAAATTGGTAGAATTTCAAACGCAATTAGATTCTGTGGAAGAAACTTTAAAGTCTGAAGCAAAAGAACGTGAAAAAACAATAGCTGAAAGAGCTATCAGACAATTAGAAATGATAAATGAAAAAAATGATCAAGAAATACAATTGATTAATGAAAAGCATAATGAAGAGGTCGGATTGTTTCGAATTCAACTTATTAATGCAACAAAGAAAATAGAAGAATTAGAAGAAATACTAAAAAATTTTCGAAATCGAAGGTAATTTTTCTCAATTTTGGAATATTTCTTAAAAAATTTTATTTTCCGTAGAGTTGATATTGCTGAAAAATTACATACTGTAATGGAAACACAATGGCAAAAAGCTTTAGAAATTCTTACTAGTCCTACTACAAATGTTGAACATCCAAAATGTACAAATCCAGTACTTATTAATAAGGAGAAACTAGATGGTTTAAGTGCCGATAGTGGTATTACTAAACCAGAAAACGAGTCATTTAATACCCCAACGTCAAGCCGAAATAGAACGCATAATCGTAAAAATGATGAACGTTTACAAGCTTATATAGAATTGGTAAGCAATAACGATTCTTAATTAATAACGTTTATATGTCTTGAAATTACATTTAAATTACAATTTTTAAAATGTTTCAAGAAACTTAATATTTATCAAAAATATTACATACATATATCATACTTGTGAATTAAATTGTTCTTAGTTTAAGAGTTAATTATCTTTTGGTATATTTATTTTTAGCTGTTGAGTAAATCTCCACGAGACTTGGATAATTTAAACACAATCCTTAATCTACCAAAAAATGATTTTAGTTCAAACGAAAGATCGAAAAGCTCGCAACATTCTAAGCCGCCTTGGAAATAAAATAAATCCTAAAATAGTTTGATGACAATCAAAGTTAAAATATTATAGAAAGTCTGAAAATTTTGTTCAATTTTTTGAAATTGATTTGTAAATATATACATAATATATATATACACATACTAATATTAAATATTTTTGTACAAAGGTTTTGTATTTATTACAAATTTTGATTAAGAATAAAAAAACGAAATATAATTTATATTTCAAAATAATATCAGTGTCTTGATGAATTTCTTTTAAATAACATGATACCCTCACCATTTTTAATTGATCAAATAAAAAAATCATTATTTACATATTATGTTTTGTATATATTCCAATTTATATTATATTTTTTGTTTATGCCATGAGATTATTTGAATTTACAATATAATTTTTATAAATATGTATGTAATTTCAGCACAATTATTAGATTTATATAATAAGTATCATTAATACAAACTTAAAGCGTAATAATATACATATGTACTTATAACTATTTTATTTCAACAATTTTCTACTTCAGTAAAGTATATTGAAGTTATTTAAATGGTTTAAAAAAAATGTTTTATTTCGAAATAGAAAAATTAATACACGCATACATGAGTGAAAAGTAAATGATAAAAAAAATTAAACTATCGATTGTTTATTTGGTATATTTAAATATTTTAAACTATCGATTGTTTATATCGGTTTTTCAAATTATTTTAAAAAAATTTCATTTATAACCATCAAGCAAATTATAAATACAAACATTTACTATTAGAAATTTTAATTATATGTGTTCAAAATTGTGTTTATATTGTTTGATTATTTGATCATTTACGTTTTTAATAGGATGTTTAAAAAATCTCAAAATGAATATGTAAACACAAACTTAAAACAAACGAAGCTAGGAATGAACAGTATCAAATTTACAAAGTATATAAGTATAAATCTAATTCAAATTGAAATAAAGTAAATTTTCACATATTAATTTTTATTCCAGCGAATTTAATGTAAGCAATTGTTTGAGTACTTTAGTTTGGGATGTTTCACGTATTTCGCCAGCCAAAAACATTTCATCAACAACAGTATACACCTTGTAAAAATTAAACACCAAGTCAAGTTCGCATACATTATGAAAATATTCATTGAGCACTTCTACAAAATTATGTATTGCCTCCAAGTAACACAAGTTATTATCATTAACGTCAACACAGATACAGAAATATAAGCCTGCATATCTTCGATAAACAATCTTAAAGTTACGAAACTAAAAACCAAATTTTCTATAAAAAATCATAAAAAAGCAATTGTATTTAAAAATGTATTACTTCAACAAAATTTGTATGTTTTGCATCTCGAACTGTTACAACTGCATGAACTTCTTCAATCAATTTTTGTTTTTCGTCATCGTCAAAGTTCATGTACCATTTGGCTAAACGTGTTTTTCCAGCTCGGTTTTGAATAAGAATAAAACGAATCTGAAAAATTCTTGATAAATATTAATTTAAAGTCGAACAAATTTATATTTTACCATTCTTAATTAATCAGAGTTCAAATTTTCACTTTTTCTAAAATAAAACGAAGCAATCCCCCTAATGATTTATTTTCATTTATTGACAGTATAATTTGATAATAATGATAACTCTGTGATTAATCAACACCTCTTAAAATGTCAAAATGACAAGTGCAGGGATATGTAATGCAACATTAGATGCTTTCACGAGATAAAAAAAAAACTCAATCAAATTTTAAAAATTAAGTTTTTTGCTAACAGCTTGATTAATAATTGAGTTAATTTTTGAGGTTAAAATTTAACATTATTTAAAAACAATTCGGCTTGTCAAATAATCAAATAATTTGTGGGGAAAAATATGCTCTTAAGATAAAATTAATATTTTCAAGTAAGTTAACTGAGTTAAAATTTAAATCGTTTCGTGAAAACAATTATTATATAGGAAACAAAAATACATTTACCATTTATACTGAAGTCCCCGAAATATCTTTCAAAGAAAACATTGTCATTAATTGGTTTTATAATTTTTATGAATTCTAGCATTCCCAGCTTCGTAAAATAACAGAATGAAAAATCATTTGCTTGTCAGGAGATTAAACTTAACTGGGTTATTTTTTAATTTTTGTCTCGTTTATTTTTCAATTTCGTCTCGGACTTCCTTCAAAGAATGACATGAACAATACCGATTTCATATTCAAGAATTTGATTTTCATAATTCTTTTCATTTCATATTCAACTGTAATAACCAGAGTTATGTTTTACTTATATTTTTAATTTCTAATTTATATAAAATAACGAAAAAAATAAAAAAAATGAAAAATCTTTTTCTATAAATGATGACAATCATCTATTACCGGAACGTAGTTTGTCAATTTCTTTTGAAATTTTTTATTTCCTCTAAAGATTTCGGAATAAAATTTTTACAGTATCGACGGAAACTTGTTTAAATAAGTATAAAAAAATTTTGAAAATTATTACCAATAATACAAAATGAGCATTCAGTATAATGAAACAGTTTATTGCATTGAAAAACTTAAATTATTAGTCATAATTCATTCAAATGCTTATGAGCTTATATGCTGTTGTAATCTTTTTTTTTTTTTTTTTTTTTTTTTTTTATCGAGAGGAAGGGTGAAAAATCTCGAAAGACACTGCCAGACGAAAAGCAGTAGTTTGGAACATTAATCCACTAAAAAACACCCTCCTCAAAATAAACTATAAAACTAGTCGAAAACGACTAACCATTAACTTTGCTCTAACCTTTTTGATTATTTACAAGCTTTTGATCTGGCACAATAGCGTACTAAGTACTCATTGTTCCAGATAAAAAACTCTAAACTAACTCGAGAGGTCTCGTACGTTTAAGTCTCCTAACAAAGTTTTGATTGTCAACCAATCGAGCCGCCTCTATATTGACATGATTGGATAAACGCATTTTATGATTGGCTGCTTGCTTTTTAATTTCGTCTGTGACACTTAGGATCGTGAGATCCCGGTGTATATCGGCTTTACGGACATACCAAGGGGCGTTTACAATGTCCCGTAATACTCTATTTTGAAATCTTTGTATAGATTGGATATGAGTCTGCGCAGCGCAGCCCCATAACTGAATACCGTAAGCCCAGACGGGCTTAAATATTTGATTATATATCAAAACTTTGTTGTATATTGTCAATTGGGAACGCCTCCCCAAAAGCCATTCGAACTTTCTGTATTCCTCCTCTAGTTGAGATCTCTTTTTATTTATGTGCTCCTTCCAGCTGAGCTTCGTGTCCAACGTCATTCCCAAATACTTCGCTGTGTTTGCGGAAGGAATCAAGACGCCATTTATTCGAACCGAAAATGAATTGTCAATTCTCCTATTAGTGAAATTTACGTTACTGATTTCACCTCGTTAAGTTATTCCACTTTCTAGTCCATTTTGAGATCTCATCACTGGCCCTTTGCAATTTTTGTGTAGATTCATTTTCATTTCGTCCTATTGCGATAACTGCTGTATCGTCAGCAAATGTAGCTGTTGTCACTCCTTCCGATTCTGGAATATCACACGTGTATAGCAAGTATAGTATCGGGCCCAATATACTCCCCTGTGGTACCCCCGACTTGATATCCCTAAGCGAAGAGTACTCCTCTTCCTGTTTAACTCGAAATACCCTATTAGTCAGGTAAGATTCGAGCAGGTCAACATACTGCCTTTGTAATCGCCTAAGTTTTTTTATTAATCCACAATGCGAAACCTTATCGAAGGCCTGGGCCACGTCCAAAAATATGATAGAACATATTGTTTTTTCTTCCAGTGAATTTTCTATTAGGTCAGTTATTCTATGAATCTGATCTATGGTTGAGTGGTTGCGGCGAAAACCAAATTGATGATTCGGGATTAACCCTTTACTTTCAATTATAGGCTGGAGTCTTATCAATAAAAGTTTCTCTAGCAGTTTTGAAATCATAGGCAACAATGAGATTGGTCTATAAGAAGTCGCCTTGTCTATAGGTTTGCCAGGTTTGTGCAGCATGATTATCTCTGTAACTTTCCAAATTTCAGGCACGTAATTGAACCTTATACACGCATTTATTAGGCGCGTAAGCATCGTTATACCCCTTTTGGGTAATTCCTTCAAAATATCGGCCGTTATTAGGTCAAATCCTGGGGCCTTTTTAGATTTAAGAGTCCTGATTTCTTCTATGACCTCTCTTTCCTTGACAATTGGAATAGTCACGCTATCCCCAACAAAAGCAGATTCCTCATTTTCATACACGCTCCGGCTGTCATGCGGGCAGAATATATCGGCCAAATGATCCGCAAACACATTTGCCTTGTCCTTGTCAGTTTTTGCCCACGTTCCATCTTTGTTTTTAATAAATTTTTGCCCTGTTGAAATGGGATAAAAAGCTATCGCAAATAACAAGTTTTAGGATAAAATGCAAATACGTACGTTAAAGAAATATATCCGAAAAAAAAAAATAAAAAATAAATTCACTTGTAAAAGAAAACTAGCACAAGCGTTTCTTAAAAAAATGCTATCAAAATGCAAAATTTGCGTACTAAAATACATTTACAAGTCTTCTTTTCTAAATTTCATTTCTCACTAAGACGCATTTTCTTTCAATGTCCGGGTATTCGGGCTGATTCGGACAATATTTTTAACCTTGATGATATTGAAAAATGATATTTTTGTTATGAAAATAAGCAATTAAGTTCTCAAATGTGAACGTAGAACGTTTACGCATGCTTTACAAATAGGTACTATTAAAATAATCAGTTATCATACCTTGCAATAGTGCTCAAGTGTACAAGTAATAATTCAACTTCATTTGATATGTTAAAAAAATATTTTATGAAACAGTAACTATGCAAATTATGCAAGCTATTGAAACAAAAACCAATTTTGAAATTATGTATGTTGGTAACACTGCATTTTAGGAATCTGAGGAAAAAGTCAAAAAGTAATCAACCATATTATCATCGTCATTTATCACACCAGTGTCAGTCAAGTCAATTGAAAACAACCTTTGTACCTCATTTGACTTTGAATTTGGGGCTCGGGCTAGATTTTAATTTTTCTAATTTTATACTTTGATATAAACAAATTACAAAAATGTCCCGTGTTCTAGTAGGAGTTAAAAGAGTCATCGACTATGCCGTCAAGGTAGATTATAGTAAAGAACCTAAAATCTTTTCAAATGCGAACGTAATGTTTTCAGGTTCGTGTTAAGCCAGATAAAACAGGTGTAGTTACAGAGGGTGTTAAGCACTCTATGAATCCTTTCGATGAAATTGCTGTAGAAGAGGCTGTTAAAATGAAAGAAAAGAAATTAGTTTCCGAAATTATTGCAGTATCCGTTGGACCTACTCAATCTCAAGAAACAATAAGAACTGCATTGGCTATGGGAGTAGACAGAGGAATACATGTCGAAGTTAGTGGCAAAGAGTATGAATTATTGCAACCCCTTCATGTATCAAAAATTTTAGCTAAATTAGCACAAGAAGAAAAAGTGGATCTTGTTCTTGTTGGGAAACAAGCAATTGATGATGACAGCAACCAAACAGGTACCTCCTGTTCGATTTTAAACAAATAAAAAATTGTCAAACAAAACGTTTTTCGTAGCGCAAATGACTGCTGCATTATTGGATTGGCCCCAAGGCACATTTTGTTCAAAAATTGAAAAAAGTGAGGCTGGCCTAACAATTACTCGTGAAGTTGATGGAGGCTTAGAAAATATTAAAACAAAAGTTCCTGCTGTTTTAAGTGCCGATCTTCGTTTAAATACTCCAAGGTACGCAACTTTGCCCAATATTATGAAAGCGAAGAAAAAGCCTATTAAAAAAACTACTGCTAAGGACTTGGGTGTTGACACGTCGCCAAGAATCCAGATTGTTTCAGTTGAAGACCCACCTACTCGTGAAGCTGGTGCCATTGTTCCAGATGTAGATACATTAATTTCAAAGTTAAAAGAACTTGGACATATTAAATAGACAGGGTGGCATTTATAAAACTTGTAGAGATTTTGTTTCAGAATATATTTTGTATACTACAATATTCAGTGTTAAGATTATTTCGATATGGGTAACCTAGTTAAATATCAAAAAAATTTTTTACAGCTCTATCTAAATTTAAAAGATGTTAATAATTTCAACCATATAGAGGTATAAGAGGCGCGGTTATTAAAAAAAAAAAAACTATAAAAGTAAATATATGTGAGGTGAGGTCCTTCTATTTGGAGGACCGGTAAGGTCGGATGCGTTAGAATTTTGCAACTAATGTTTGTTTAAATACATGTTCTACTCAATTTACAAACCGAATTTTTCTTTAATTAGAACGATAAATATTCAAATAAGTAGAATCACCATAGGAAAAAAAATAGGTCAATTCCGTTCCCACAAATCATTTCCAAGAACCCTTGTGATCCTAGAAATTTGCAAATTGCTTTTGATTAACTCTTTAAGCTTGAATGCCTTATAAATATATTTAGTACTGATAAAAATTTCAAATGCTTTAAACTTTCCCTGATATGTATTTTGAAATTCCTCCCTACGTTATTGCTTTTTTTTTCGATATGCAGTGGTAAGTAAATCCGGATCAATCCAATGCTTACAAAAAAAAGTCTATGAGATATTTAAATTAATTTTATGAATAATCCGTAATTACTTTTATAAATAAAACCATTTCATAAATTTAGGATGAATAAAAAAAGTCAAATGCGTTAGAATATGCGTTAAGACAAATATTTATATTTTTTTAGCTTTTTGCTTAATTTGAGAAAGCTTGCGGGTTTCGAAATATAACGCACTGAAAACTCAAATTATACTACTTTCGGGAAGCGATAACTTGATGAAGGTGGAAAATAATATTTTCTTCTAATGAGATAATTAATTCATTAACGTGAGAGCTGCTAAATTTGGGACTTCTATAGTTTACTGTCAAAAAAAGACTATATTAAGTTAAATAAAGCCGTTTGATTTTCAAGAGCCATTTTGCTATTGTATGATACTGTTTCATGTGCAAGCTAATTTGACGGAAATCCAAGAACGTTTCAACCTTCAATACAATAAACATTCAAAAAATGGAATTTTTTAGCTTTTGAAGAGATTATAACTTTTTAAGAATGGACAAAATAGACACACAGACGGACGAAAAGACTGAAACTAATAGGGGTTATTCCAACTTTTTTTGACCCAACAAAATCTTTCAAATCCCAAACGACCCCAATAAAATTTTTTTATATTACTCAGAAATTTGTTACATTACTGTAACAAAATCATTTAATGTTTTGTTAGTATAGTTCAATTTAGTTTATAAGTATGTATCATGTATATTTTTGTTAATTTTGTAAACTAAGTATGTAAATTTTTGTAATTATGTAGCATCTTGTTTGGTGCAAATTAAAATAAAATAAAAAAAAATTAAATAATGGATACAGGTGCGTTTCTTCTTGACCTCGTGTTCAATAACGTAGTGCGAAGATAAGGTTGTACTTCGTTTTTATAAGCAGATTTATTTCAATTTAAAAAAAATTTTTAATCAATTGAACTCGTATGCATCATTCAGTGACGTAAAAAATTGTAAAAATGCTCGGATATAAGTGTTAAAAAGTTATGAACATTGATTTTTTCTCGCATTTTGCTTTGAAACGTGCACTACATTATTTGATCGTTTGCAGAAAATTTGAGAGTGAAATATGGTTGTTCTCGATAAGCATGTTCCATAATCCATTATTTATGTAAAGGTAATTTAATTGTCAAAAAAAATGGGAAAATTTAGAGATATATTTTCTGTCAGTTTGAAAAGGACTGGTTTAATGAAATTCGTGGAAGCGAAGAAAATTTTGTGTGTAAAGGTTATTCAAGTTCAGTCGGGAGTGTAAATGCACAGTTCATTAACAAAAACACCCTGTCGCGTCATTAAAACTAATATCATCATTATCGTTTGTTTGACATTTTTAAGAAAATAGTGAATAGAAAGTTATCGAGAATTTTTAGTAGCGGTAAGCGGAGAAAACTTAGAAAAGTATCAATAAGCGTGTGTGATTTAATTTTTGTTGAATTATAAAAGTTAAATAGAAAAAATGTCTAGACGCGGAGGTGGACCTCAAGGAGAGGATTTATCTAATGTTGAATTTGAAACAAGTGAAGATGTGGAAGTAATACCAACGTTTCATTCTATGCAACTCAAGGAAGAGTTGCTTCGCGGAATATACGCATATGGTAAAAATGAAAGTTGTGTAAATTTGTTCTCATTTAAAAAAAATTGCATTTTTAATAAGGTTTCGAAAAACCCTCTGCTATTCAACAAAGGAGTATTATCCCTATTGTGAAAGGAAGAGACGTAATTGCACAAGCTCAATCTGGTACTGGAAAAACTGCAACATTTTCGATAGCTATTTTGCAGCAACTTGATACAACTTTACGTGAAACACAAGTGTTATGTTTGTCACCTACCAGAGAATTGGCAGTACAAATACAAAAAGTTATATTAGCTTTGGGAGACTTTATGAATGTACAATGTCACGTTTGTATCGGCGGCACAAATTTAGGTGAAGATATTCGCAAACTTGACTATGGTCAACATATTGTAAGTGGAACACCAGGACGAGTATACGATATGATTAAACGACGTGTTTTGCGCACTAGGGCAATTAAGATGTTAGTTTTAGATGAAGCTGATGAAATGTTAAACAAAGGCTTTAAAGAACAAATTTACGATGTATATCGATATTTACCCCCTGCAACACAGGTTGTACTTATATCAGCTACTTTGCCCCATGAAATTTTAGAGATGACTTCTAAATTTATGACAGACCCAATCAGAATATTGGTTAAACGGTAACAAAATAATGCATAATTGTTTTCTTAATATAATATGAATCATGTTTTAGTGATGAGTTGACCTTGGAAGGTATTAAGCAATTCTTTGTTGCTGTTGAACGAGAAGAATGGAAATTCGATACGCTATGTGACTTGTATGATACACTTACTATAACTCAAGCTGTAATATTCTGTAACACGAAAAGAAAGGTGGATTGGCTAACAGAAAAAATGCGCGAAGCGAATTTTACAGTAAGTTCGATGCATGGCGACATGCCACAAAAAGAACGTGACGATATTATGAAAGATTTTCGTTCTGGTCAAAGTCGTGTACTAATAACTACAGATGTGTGGGCGAGAGGTATCGATGTACAGCAAGTATCTTTAGTCATTAATTATGATTTACCAAATAATCGTGAGTTATATATTCATCGTATTGGTCGTTCTGGCAGATTTGGGAGAAAAGGTGTTGCAATTAATTTTGTTAAATCGGACGATATTCGAATTTTGCGTGATATTGAGCAATATTACTCTACGCAGATTGACGAGATGCCAATGAATGTTGCTGATTTAATTTAAGTTGAGTTAAATATTATTTTGAAAAATGTAAAAACATTAATTAAATATTTTAATCAAGAGTGAATTTTTAATAAAAATTTTCCATTCCTAAAGTATCACATCTTATTACAATTTGAAATTATATTTTTAAAGTTATGAATAATTATTAGTAACTGAAATTTTATTTATGGAATTTAGGAAATGACTTTGGTATAGCAATAATTCTGAGAATTATATTCTAATTATAAATTATTATTTTTCAAAACATCTAAAAGTGAATTATTACCACATGCGGTCAAAGATTTATTATTATTATTGTCCTGTGGTTTTAAAAGTGTACCCAAAACAATACCCAAGAATAGTATTAATCCTACTTGGCTGTTAGAAATGAATTTTTTTGCGCAATCTGAGGGGATGTCAATATTTAAAGAATATATCTAAAAATAATAATCGTTAATGTTTAACGTATGCGTTTGCATAATATTTTTTTACTTGTTGAGCTAAATGACCCGCAACTAATCCAACAGCTGTAAAATATGGCCAGGTTTGTTCACATACAATACCAGAAGTAACAAGACCAGATAGCATTGCGGTGGAAAATCCTGTCAACCAAATTTTCGTGCGGTCTCCGAAGCGTATGGCAGTTGACTTAATCCCCACTTCGATGTCATCTTTTTTATCCTGTTGGGGAAAACTAGAAATATTGAAAAATTTTATACAAACTGATAATTTTTTACTTGATGAGCGTATATGGTATCATATACTATAGTCCAACAAACTCCGGCCATATACAAAGGTAAACATGCTTGCCAATTCACATCGTTGTGCACCGCTGCCCATCCAAGTATTGCCCCCCAATTAAAAGCCATTCCTAATACAAATTGTGGCCAATATGTAATTCGTTTCATTAACGGGTATAATATAACAAGACCCAAGGAACATGCACCCAACATAATAGAATGTAAATTAAGTTGCAAAAGAACCAGCAATCCAATACTTAACTGGGCTGATAAAAAAACTATGGCATCAAAGGGTTTAATAGCTCCAGATGCTAATGGTCTCAGTTTTGTTCTTTCAACTCTGCTGTCAATATCTTTGTCCCATAAGTCGTTAATAGTACAACCAGCGCCGCGCATTATTAGAGCTCCCGTTCCAAATAAAGCTAGCATATAAAAATCAGGCCAATGGCCCGGCGCTGCACTTAAAGCAATACTCCATGTACAAGGCCAATATAAGAGCCAAGCTCCTAAAAAAATTCAAAACATTTTTTTTTAATATTTTAAATAACATTTGTACGTATTACATGTTAACTAGAATTTGATATTGAAAATTTACCTATTGGTTTATCTAATCTCATTAATTGTACATATGGTTTTAAAGCTCTTGCAGCATCACTTTTAATTTTTAAAATTTCTGATTCATTTTGATTAGCTGAATTGTCATGTGAACTACTTTTTGTTGAAATAGATTTGCTAAATTCTTTTATTTTAATTAGTGATCTACAGCAGCTGTTTGCAAAAGTTGTACTTGAGTTTACGTTTAACAAATAGTTACATCTTATCAAACTACAATTTGCTAAATTTTTATACGGTTTTACTTTTCTTAAAAATAAACCAAGCACATTCATTCTATATCTTAATTAGTACACTAGTTTTGGTTTTGGCAAGATTTGGAACAAAGTTATATTTGATCAAATGTCCAAGGCTTTTTTTCAGGCTTGCCTTAGTGTATATAAAATCGAAATTTTATTCCTAAATAAGTTAAATACTTTTAGTTTAGGATTTATTGAATACATTTGAATTTTTTGGTAACATTACAATTAAAACGTTAATGATTACATTGAAAATTTACAATTTCACTGTTTTTTATCAATTGTATTTGAGATTTTGCTAATGCATTTGAACTAGAAGTGTTTGTAAGAAAATGTATCTAAAATTCTAAACTAGTTGTTAAGATTAGGAGGTTATGATTACGCAAAACAAAAACATTTCAAAAAGTTATAGTTCTGCGCCATCTATTGCCATATATAAAAAGTGTTGACAAAATCTTTGTCGTTTATGTAAAGCCAGTGTTGTCGTTTATATATTTTTTGAATAGGAAATTTCTAAATTTTAGGAAACATTTTCAACTTTAGAGTAGAACGACTTTAAATCTTCGACGCTCTTCTCCAAGGTAGGGAAGTAAAAATAAACCATTTTTAGCAACCTGTTGGTCTGTGTGTGCACGCGTGTATCTCAAGTTCGGCTGAATCGATCTTGATAAAATTTTATATGTAAATTTATTTCGACCATGGCACGGACTGATCAACTTTTGGGATATATCAGGCCTTGGGAACTGCACTTTTTAGCGGGCCTGTTTTACATTTTTGATCATTTTGGAAAAAGTATTCAATAGATTTTCTTGAAATTTTACATATAAGTTTCATTCGAAGTCCGCGAAGCCTCCTAACTTTTGGAAGATATCAGGCGTCAGCAACTTAACGTTTACTACGAACCAAATATTCATTTTTGCGTATATGAAGAGAAATAATCAACCGACTTCATTGAAATTTAATATTTAAATTTGGAGAGTTAAAACAATGATCCTATAAATTTTTTGGAAAGATCAGGACTCGGCAACAGATCAGAGGGACCGTTTTATATTTTTTACCATATCTACGGAACGAATTGATGGAATTTCTTGAAATTTGATATTTGAGTCCAGGTTGTTACCGAAACTAACTGGCGAGCATTTCAGAGAATTCGGGTAGCACAAGGCAAAACTCTACTAAGAGCTAAATTTACATTTTTCTAAGTATGTTAACGTTACTAATGCCCTAAAAATTGGAAAGAAGCATATCTAACGGGCATTTTTATAATATTCTGTATTCAGTTATAAATACTTTTACTTTAATACACATTGCGTTCAGTTATGTGCTGATCAGATTTTTTTTTGTATTAAAGTTGTGTGATATTTATATATGCATTTTGAAAAACGTATTTAATTTTATTTGTTATTCAATTTTATAAGTAATAAAACTTTTTAGATACTGAACTAATGTGAGTTAGTTTTTTTAAATGAATAAATATATACCAATCTAAAAAATAAAATTTTATACAAAAATATTTTATTTATAATTATAAATTATAAGTAACATTATAAACCACTAATCTTAATTTGAAAAACCTAAAATTGAAATATTTGTAAAGTGCAAAAATTTATAAACAATTTTTGTTGTCAGGGAAAACTCCAACTGATATAAAATACGACTTGTCACAATACAATAAACTAGCAACTTATTTAATTGTCAAGTACATTTCAGCTACATACAGCCTTTTTCCAGCTATTATCAAATTAAACTTATAAACATTTCAAACATATTATAATATATTTCGATATTTTATCAAATATGCAGTTCTAAACATTAAAAAAATATCATATTATATAGTAATCGGTTCAGGGGTGTAAAGTAGTTCGCCTCCTCGTGGTGCACCCCGTCTAAAGCAAAATGAACTACATTTTACGGAGTGAGCAAGAAAGTAAAGTAGATGTCATGCAACGCTGAAATACTGAAATACTAAATCGAAATAAAAGCTACAAAAATTTACAAAAGCAATAAAAAATAAATAAAAAGTCTTTATTAAGACTGAAACATAACCCAAAACACACATACGCCTTATGCGCACATATGTATATTTGACATATGTACATATGTATATTTGCATATGAAAACAAGAAAAATAGAATATTTTAAAACTTTACACTGGAACGCGGGAGGTTTATCACAACCAAAAAAGAAAATAATAGAAAAATATATATACGAAAACGATATAGATATATTCAGCATAGTTGAATCAAATATTACAGAAGAAACAAAAAAATACTACAAATTCAAAAATTATGAAACATACAATTTATGTAAAAGCAGACAAGTAGCAAGTGGTATACTGATAGGAGTTAAATCAAACATGTCAGCAAATTTTAAAATAATAAAAACTATGGACTCGGATAACATCTCAGAAGTCGCAAAAATAAATGTGTGGCTCAACAAACAAAAATATAGTTATTATAGTGTGTACAACGCGCCACCCAATCATAACCTCAACTTAGACTTCGCCATCGAGGAAAATAAATCAATCATAACAGGTGATTTCAATGGACACTCACCGACATGGGGATATCTAAACAAAAACGGAGCAGGAAAGGTTATAGAAGATTTTATTAACACCACCACCTATGAGTTAATGTATAAAGAAAACGAGCCCAGAACATACATTCATTACACAGGTCACTCTACCAACCCGGACCTAATCATGATTACATCGGATTTAGCACAATCAGCAGAAAAGAAAGTCGTGGAGGACGGGGGTAGTGGACATAGAATGATCGAAACCAGCATTTGCATAAATAAAACAAAAACAGCGAAAACAAAAAATAAAAAATCTTGGAATTTCAAAAAGGCCAACTGGGAGAAGTACAACAATGTTCTTCACCGAGAGCTGAATAAGATAAACATGCACAACCAGGTCACAATAAAAGAATTCGGAGAAATAATGAACATAGCGGCAAAACAATCGATACCCAGAGGTAGAATAAAACACTATAGGCCTTTTTGGAATAAAAAACTTGATATATTAAAAAATAAACGTAACAAAGAAAGAAACTCAGCAGAAAAATATAAAAACCCAACAACACTCAAAAAGTGGAGAAAACTTGACGCAGAACTAAAAAAAGAAATACAAAAAGCAAAAAGGGACAACTTCACCAGCTACATCACAAATTTGGACTACAGAACCAATAGCACAAAAGTATATAATTACATAAACAAACTAAATAAACAAAATTCAACATCAGAAACAAACTGTCAAAACATCTTTGTACATAATAATAAAACAATAACAGACGACAAAGAAATAGCCAACTCATTCGCAAAATACTACAAAAATGAACACAAACTAGCAAAACAACTAAAAGCAGAAAATAAAAAAATTAATAAACAACTATACAAAAGCACAAGTAATAATAGATTATTTAACTCAGACATCAACATAAATGAACTAAATGTAGCTATTCACTGGCTAAAAAATAAAAAACAACCCGGACCAGATTGCATATTTCCAGAAATGGTAAAAAACATAAATGATAACAACAGGAAAATATTGTTAACATCTTTAAATCGAGTATGGAATGAGGAAGACGAATTTCCTGCAATGTGGAAAAAAGCCTTTATTATCCCAATAAAAAAACCGGGAAAAAGCAGTTCTGATATAAGTAGCTACAGACCCATCTCGCTCACTTCCATCTTAGCAAAAATAATGGAAAAAATTATGGCTAATAGATTAAATAGCTACCTTGAAAAACAGCAATTAATAGCATATGAACAAGCTGGGTTTCGTGCAAACTTCTCAACCATACACCAAGCTTTGCGCCTTAAAGAACACATAGTAGCATCATTTAATAACAATCAGAGCACATTAGCAGTATTTATAGATTTCAAAGGTGCTTTCGACACGGTATGGAGAGAAAATCTTTTTAAAAAACTCAGAGTGATGAATATAGATGGAAAGTTTTTAAAATTCATCAGAAATTTTGTCAACCAGAGATGGATTTCAGCTAAGTGGAACAATAAAAGATCCAACTGGAAGCAGACCAAAGTCGGACTACCACAGGGTTGCGTGCTGAGTCCAATCTTATTCAATATATATATAAACGACTTAGTAAAAAATTACAAAAACTCTGATATATCTATAGGCATGTACGCAGACGACGTAGTTTTATGGACTAGCGCAAATAACAAAAAGAACACAGCAAAATTATTGGAGGAAAAAATGACACCAGCTCTAAAAAAACTAGTCGAATGGTCAGAAGAAAACAATATGACGATTAATACAAATAAAACTACTTACCAATTTTTTACATTAAAGCATACAATGCCAGATATAAACGTACGAATTAAAAACGATAGTATAAAAAGAACAACAAGCACAACATATCTGGGAATTACATTAGACTCTAAATTAAATATGGGCGAGCACATTAACAACACAACAAAAAAGGCAAGCAAAAAATTAACTATACTAAAAAGATTAGCAGGCTGTAAATGGGGGGGCACAACTGACTTACTAAATAGAACATATAAAACATACATAAGACCAGTTATCAATTATGGTGCTGAACTTCTAACTGGAATTGCAGACAATAAGAAAAATAAACTAGAAACCTGCCAAAATAATGCCCTGCGCCTGATTACAGGAGCAGTAAAAACAACACCAGTACAAGCCATGAGAAGTTTCACCAACAACAACCCAATTGCAACCGATATAGACATCAGATCCACACATTTATATGAAAAAAATTAGAAGCGCGCCATCACAACACACATGGTTTTTAAAAAAACAACATGAAATCAAGCTGAAATCACAACCAAGTTTCAAGCAAAAAACGGAAGAAATTATTAACAAAATGGGCCCAATTCCTAAATTGGAACGAAATCTACCACCTCAAGATCCACTAGAATACATAGACGTAGATGCAGAATTAAATTTAAATAAACACATAAAAAAAACAGCAAACAACAATGAAGTTATTAGACAAATAGCCTTGGAAACCATTAATATAAAATACCCAAAGGACAAATGGTTTCATGTATACACTGATGGATCCCTACTCAAACAATATGACGGAGCTGGAGCTGGTGTACATAGTGCATATTTCAATCACTATTTCAAATTACCAGATAACACCACGGTATTTGAAGGCGAATTAGCAGCGATTGAATGTGCACTCAAACAAATATTAGGAAGAAGAATAAAGGACCAACAAATAGTCATACTATCAGACTCTCAAGCAGCCTTACAGGCAATAAAATCATATAATCCAAAAACAGACAATAGCATGCTGAGAGAAATAAAAACAATAATAAAAACACTACAAAATAGTAAATATATTATAAAATTCCAATGTGTCCCATCACACGTTAACATACTGGGTAACGAATTAGCAGACAAGTTAGCAAAAAAAGGAGCAAACCTATCCACAACTCCAAGAATGTATACCACACTTCCAACGAGATTAAATCAAATAAAAAACAATATATTAAAGAAAGAAAAACAAAGTCGAGAAAACCTCCTAAGAGAAAAAACATACGAAAACATTTCTAAAGAATACGACAAAATCGCCAATTTCACTAGGAAAAGGGCGGTAGCACATTTTAGATTATACACGGGGCATAATTGTTTAAATGATCACCTGCACAGAATGGGCTTGGTACAAAATAAACTATGCACACTATGTGATCTAAATAGGGTTCAAGATGCAGAACATCTAACAAAATGTCCACAGTTAGCAGTAAGCAGACAAATCAACAATGACTTGACATATCTTTACTGGGCAGCAAGAATGAAGATGATTTAAATCAAAAATTTTAACTCCATTAGAAAACAACAACAGTAATCGGTTCAGCCGTACTTGAGATACAGAAAAGCAAGGACATACACTCATACTGATAGGGTGGCACACCGGCAGACATCCCTCTCAAAATTGTTTATTTATACCTCTCTAGCATGGAGAATTTATGTATTTCTCCCTAAATTCGACATGCAAAATTTGGGGCCATCACATATGCAATATGCGACTGGTTAATATGCTTCCAATAATTCGTACGTACAAAAAGTAACTGCCTTCAGGGCCTTGATTAAAGGTAAAAACACTCTTGGAATCAGCGGTCAATTTTAACATCCTTTTTATTACCCTTATATATAACTTAACAATTTATATCTATACATACATATTCATTTTTAAATTTGAAAATGGGTATTTTAATTTTTATGCTGGAACACCAAAAAATCTCTTTTTGTTTTGTGACTAATTTTGATAAAATGATTAACTTTTTTATTCATTTGTTAAAAAGGTTTCGAAGCAGTCGAGTATCGAAAAAGTTTAATTAAATAGATAATTTTTTGCTTCGAAAAACTGCTATCAAAAAGCTATAAGAAATCATTTCCTATATAGCTTTAATTTGGTATTGTCATAGTATTTTTTATTTTTTGAAATAATATTCTTTCTTAAAACAATATAACTAAATATTTTTAAAAGTAGAATCTATCCGTAAGGAGTATAAGCTTACAGAAGCAGATTCTTTTGTTGTTAATGATACAATAATGATAAAATCAGCGTCTTGTTATAACCTATCAACATAATTTTTTCATGTCTCATTTTGGTCTCATATTGAGTACAAAAACTTGAATTCGAGTACAAAAGCGATATTAATGCGAATGGAGAAAATTTAATTTGGAATCTTTTGCTATTCTATAATTTCGTGATGTAATACAATATATATTTCCTATATGTAATACAATAATTTAATTAAAATATAGTTCACGTTCACATATAAATTCAAGATTTACTTTTAATATGTTAAATTTTTTTTTTTGTCAAAATTGATTTTAAAAACGATGATCGTATTGATATTTCATCCTAATCTTCCTAATTTTACATAACAGATTATGGGTAATGAATTCATTACACTTCAGTTTTACACTTTAAAAATTCATATTTTTTTATTTTAGTTTAAAAACAGATGCAAAGTATAAGAATTCATGTGCATCGAAAATGATTTTTCGCTGTGTAAAATGAACCGAAACGAAGCTGAACAATTGTTTCCGCCCAACGAGTTCGTCATCTAATATTATTGTTATTATATATTTACTATATGAAAATTTATATGTACGTGCGTATACATACTTATACCTATATAGAAATAATAAAAAAAATTCGAAAAAAAGGACAGATTTTCGGACATGTAAACGAAATAGAATGCATCCGTTTTTCTTTATATACCATACTTGTTACGTTTATATGTTTTATTTGGTCCTTTTTCAATTCATTTTCTCTCTAAACATCACTTGATTTATGTTATTTAGTTCTGTATGAACGCCTTTAAAATTATTTTAAGTTTACTAATTTTACATATAAACGTACGTACTTACATAATACCTTTAAAAAATTACGTGCTAAAACACAGTAATGTAAAATTTTGAACAATTTTGGTTAATGTCTAGTTTTTTTAATGGATGTTGGTATTATTCTTATACTTCTATCAAAAACCTATAAGAAATAATTTCTCATAGCTAAATTAATAAGGGAATACGAGTATATATTATGTCTTAATTGCTTAAATAGGTTTAATAGAAAACCTCAACTTGTTCACATTCATTGAAAACAAATTCTGTTAAAATTTATTTCTTAAAATAAACTTTTGTATGAATGCATTCAACATCAAAGCTTCAAAAAAAAACGCCAGTTTGCATTACATTTCACTGTTTAAATGCACGTAAGGAATTGCAATGAAAATAGAGAAATATTGTCAATAGTATAGGACATATAATAAAATGTAAATTCAATCTCAAATTAATTTATTCTATAGCATGATTTTAATTGCTACGCAAATTAAATTACAGTATGGGCAAGTTTGCATTTTACTAAATGTTTGGAAGATTTGTTTTTGAAAACATAAAATTTTATAGAAATTCAACTGTCATGTAAATCCGAAGAAAGTGTTATTGGTTGCTTAACTTCAATTTTTCACCATGTTATTTATTGTTATGCAAATTGCCTATTCATAAGTTTTTTGCTGTAACTTCATGAGTACAAAGTGGTAGATTTCATTAAATTGATAACTTAATAGTTTAAACTCTAAGATAAACTTGATATAGACATTTTAAAATTTATATCCAAGAGAAATGCTTCATGATAAAGTCTACGCTATAATTTTTGATTTACCAAATTCTTATAGAAGAATTGTAGATGCATAGATACATGAATAATACATTATAGATTTACAAAATAATATATATACCCACATACATATCTACATTATTACAATTCTCATATTATTTGATTTTGTTTTAAATCAGTCCTATTCATCAGACTTTATTTCCAAAGAATTTACTAAAATTCAAAATATGCGCTTAAAAAAAATAAAAATTTGATAGTTAAAGATTCAACTAGTCGAGCTTTTATTTTGTTTAGCAATAACAAATATTATACAAGTAATATAAGTTTATACATTTTATGTACAAGATATGTTCAATACAGATTTGATTATACATATATGTATGTTAGCAAATATATACTATTTCATACCATGTTCACAATGTAACTATGTATATTTTGTTATATTTTTTAATTTATCAATAACTTCAGTGTGGTCTAAATGATCCATATTAAATGTTGACAAAAGATACAATTTGCTTTTTAGTACCCAAACTATAATATTGTTTTAATCACTTAAATGTGAAATGAACCGCATGTATCGTATAATAGTAGCACAAAAAAACAAAAGAACATGGTAAAACAAAACCCAATATAACTTCATTTTCAAATCATAAATTCCCATATGTTTTTAGAACTCATATAATACATACATATATATACGTATGTATATACTTACATATGTAATTATAATTATGAGTAGACGTTTATGTATGTTAAACATGTAGAACCATTTCAAAGGTCTTAAATTAAAAAACCAAAAAACAAGGTTGTCGTATTCTTGTTTAGAATTTCATAGCTTAAAACAACTACCGAGACGGATGAAAGATGAGAAATTATAAAAAAAAAAATCAAAATTAAAATTGAGAAAAGGACAAAAAAAATATTATGCACATTTATGATTTTTCAAATATCATTACGCAACGTTATAAATTTTGCGATATTCAAAAGATGCCGAAGAAATTTTGAAACAAAAAAAATATATATTTAAGGAAAAGCCCATTTCCTCTTTGTATTTATGAAATTTTTGATTATTTAAAATAAAGACGGTTTTCATTTTGTATGTACGAGTATGTACGTACAAATATAAAAATGCTCATGTAAAGTAGACTTAAAAGAAACATTCAAAGATTTTAACATTAAATAATTGTGACACTTGAGGTGTATATTAACATAGATAAACATAGATATAGCAATTCATTTTTGTAACTAATTCAAGTTTAGGGACTGCCTTTTGTATGCGTTTTTATGTACATTATAGTAATTTGTTTTAAAAATGTTTTAATAGTATAACAAGTTTGCAAAGTTAAGGAAAACAAAAATATAGTTTGTAGAATAGGAGCACCATGGTAGAATTGTAATTGAACTGTAAGGTCTATGTAGAAAGTGGGTGCATTATAATATGAGAAATTGTTGAAAATATAAAAAAGTTGTAAAATTGTTCATTACCAAAATTTTTGAAGATTTTTCTACAGTACATGGAACAGCATAATTCATGTACAACTTTTTGTATTACGTGTAAAATTTATTTATAAAAATTAAATATTTGACAACATAACTATAAAGGTTATCTAATTTAACAATATCTTTGGATTCTATTACATTTTCTTTACATAATTTTCTATTATATAGTTTATAATTACTATTTGTTAACAAAATATTGGACATTCTAATAAAATAATAAAGTATACATGAGTATATGTAAATGTATGTATATTTATATCGCCCCCATTATGAAATGATATTTTCCTTCATTAAAATTGATATACATATGTATGTAGGTATTTGTATCTTCTTTTAAAATTACTAATGACAATGATCATTAGAATCGATAGCATTTTGTTTAATCCAGCCAAAACAAAAGTATCCAAGCGTACATCCAATTAAAACTGATAGACATAGCCAATAATTAAAAGTCATAAACACCAACATCAATAAATAGGAAACCTTAAAAAAAAATAATAACTTACTTTTTTAAATTTAATAAGAATTCGAATTTTCAAATTCTAAAGTTTGATACTCAGCCGTCAAATCACTTTTGAGTTTATTTCTTCAAATTAAACTTTTTGACTTCTAATTTAAAAAAAAAAACCAAAAAAATTTTCTTTTTTTTAAGTTTCAACTTCTTATTACTTCTTAAAGGTCTCGATATACATTTATGTCTACATACATATTTCTACAAGAAAATAATATTTTACTGCGACTCTTGCCAATAGAATAATAATATTGTATATTATTCTTCAGTAGTAAAATAATATTAAATATATCTTTGAAATTGAGCACTTCTTAAGAAATTTTTAGCGTTTTTAACATAGGGTTTACATTAAATAAGAAATTTCTTCGGCTAAGTATTATTCTTAAAATTCAAAAAATTTAAAGAAAACTTAATTGTGCTTAAGTAAGCTTTGAATTATATGTATTACCGTTTTATATTGATAAATATATTACCGTTATTTGAATAACATGTAAAATAGTTTGTATTGCATGTGATTTATTAAATATTTGACTTGTAATTGTTCTCTCAACATGTGGCAAAGCACCTGCACAACATCCTTGACCATTTTGCATTTGCATTAATTTTAATGCTTCATCTTTTGCAACCTTATGATAAAAACGTTCGCGTATATATCTTAATCCTTCATATAAAAATGATACGGCAATTAAAGCTAAACATGATAAACCAAATTGTAAATCTGATTCTGTTTTCCATCCTTCCCAAAGAATTCTTTCTCGTGTTCCAGCGTGAAACTAAAATTAATTAAGAAAATTTTTATTATCTTTTAAGCATATTATTAATTTTATCATACATATTTATGTAACAATAATATTTAAAAAATAAGTACTCGTACGTAAAAATTTATACAAGTAATCGAATATAATGAAATGATAATAATATAGCCTAATAAATTCAGAAATTCAGAAATATGATGCCTTATAGTCAAAATGGCTTTAGGTTGCTTGTTGGCTTTTGCATTGGTTGTTAATACAAAAAAATGTGAGAAGCGTTCTGTACCGCAAATTATGTATGTGTTATCATTTTGTTATATATCATTTTTTTAAACCAAATTCAAGGGAGAAACATGCAGAAATTTGCTGAATCAATTCCTCAAATAAATTAATATTTAAGGTCACATACATATATGCATATACAATAGAAATTTACATCTTTGATAACATTATAAAATTTTATTGCTATAAAAATAATTACAAAACATACAAAATTTAACTATTATCAACATTACATTAATTAATCAATGTCAATTTTCTGATTAATTTAAGCGATTTTAAAACCGTAGGTATTTAAAAACAATAAATATTATGATATGTATATGAGGTAATAAATATTTACATATATACATACATATATCAATTATATGCCTCTTAAGCCTACAGTATGAACGCATGTTAAAAATATTTCATGTGTAAAGTTTTTAAAGAATCATTTCGAAACACGCGCGTGTCTCTTATTCTAAAAGCTATAGAACTTTTAAATCATATCTTCTACTGTACTTTTGGTCTTAAAATTTTCAAATAATTTTTGATAAATTTAGGTTTTTAATTATCGGGATAATTTAATAAATTGATAAGATTTTTTTTTTTGTTTTCTTTACTTATATTCCAAAAATAAAAAACCATTAGGAAGTAATTATTACAATTGACATCATATAAATAAAATGTTATTAAATTAAAATCAAATTGATAATGTTAACTAAAAAAATTTATGAAATATAGATAATATTTTAACAGCACATTATGAATAGTCATTGTCATCATACATATTATATATGTATATACATATGTACCTGCTTTAGGGTTGCCAAAACTAAAAATTTTTATCTACGACATTATTTAAATAGTTATAGGTATGAGGACATTAATTAAGAATAATATCTCGCTATTCAAAAAAGGCAGAAAGAAATGACAAAATTTTAATAGTTCTACTTTCAAAATTGAAAGCTTAATTCATAATAAAAAAAACTAATAATTATTTTTAAAAATTCTTGCCTGTGATTCGAATCCGTGCAGAGCTCGATTTTCACAGAATCTCACAAATTGTATTCTGAAATTTATAGCGTTTTATGAATAAACGGGTATTCGCAGAAAATAGCTTAGAAAATATTTTAATAAAATTTTTTTAAACACATACTTTTTAGTTTGTGTCCACTTTATATAGTAGTTAAAAGTTGTACTTTGAGAAAAAGCAGTTTTAATTTTATTAATCAGTACTATATCAATTAAAAAAGAAAACAAAAAAATTAAGTAATCGTAAAATACTTTTTCTGTGTTATTTGAATGAGCTCTTTGTAATACTATTTCTGTGTTCTTTGAAGATGTTTATTGAGACTTTAGAAATAGTTATGCAAATCATATTTCAAGCAATTTTAATAAAATTAATACTTGTTATACCTTAAATATTTATACCTCAGTATATAGCAGGAATACATCAATATTTGATATCAGAAGCAAATCGAAAGATTACTTTACCTTTTTTTCAAATTCAATTAATAATAAATAAATTACGATAGTAAGAAATGAATAATTTTAAGTTTATAATAAGAAGTCAATACAAGTAATAGCATTAAAAAATACACTTCACCCTTATACTAATTGTAAGAGAGCATTTGATTGTTGAATTTCTTTTATATTTTGGTAATTACCTCGGCAACCAATTTTATTTGAATTCTAACTAAAATATTATAAATATTTTTATTAGAATAATCATATTTTTTATTTAGTTACAAGATTCTAAAAATTTTAATTATTAAATTTCTCAAATCCTATGTACTGGAGTGCATAACTTCATAAAGTTCTACTGTGGTAGAACTTGATTGTTATTATAAGCAAAAAATTATTTAACGTAATGGCAACCTTTAAAAAATATGTTTATTATGATTTGATTACACATTTATAGTACATATATGTATATGTATATTAATTACACAGATAGCTTAATATACGACCTGAGATTATGAGAATAGAGAATGAGAATTGTTTTGAGTATTTATTGAGTATAAATATTATACATATCTGGAAAAGCTAGGCATATTTAAAGCAGTGTAAGGTTGTTTAAACATGTGACCCCTCAATTATAAATTTATTAACAGAGCTCTTAACAATGTTACTGAAGGTATTGATAAAATTTAAACTGTGAATTTTCGTGTAAGGATCGAATAATTACTATAAATTATGATTGAATAGGAAAATTGAAATTTTAATGTAAAGCGAAATTGGAAATGTTGACAATTAGAAAATTGGAATTCTTTTTTTTTTCTTCTTTATTTTTTTCTAAAAATAATAAGTGTTTACTTTTTTTTGCTGTAAAGTGCTGGTCACTTTTTCACTTATTGCACATAATTTTTCGGGACGTTCAATGTCACATAAAGTATTATTTTGCGTGATGCAACATATTATTATTTTAAATATTGAAACATCTGTTCTATCTAAATAATCTATTAGCATGTCGATGATGAAGCGCACAGATATGCTAAGTAACAAATTTTTCAAAATGCGTTTTTTTACACCAATACTAATTTCGAACGGTTCTCTTTTTGTGGTATAGATTTCATTGCCGTACGTGTATTAATTTGCAAGATTGGTGTGAGTAAAATAAGTTAAGTGCAAGGTCGAAGTAGCCAAAAAAGGCCAAGTGCTTTCTTAGAATGTTTAGATTACCATAGCTGACATATTGATGAAGCATAAATATGCTAAGTACATCAGTTGTAATTGAGGTATACTTATATTGAAATCTAATAGAAAAATAACTTAATGGAAAACTCAATATTATTTCGTTATTTTGCACACAATTATGCTAAGTGCATAACTTGCAAAGTAAAGCTGAAAAGTAAAATTTTACACTATTAGCCATTTAACGCTGAGTGCATGACTTATTGTGGAAAAATTCAAATTTAATTTAAAAAAATTACTTAAAATAAAAGACTAATTTAAGGAGTTTCAGTAAAGAACAATTTAGGATGAAAATTAAACTGTGTAGCGTTAATCTAATTAACTGGCTTCTTTTCGGAAACTTGCAAACTTTCAAAACGTTGCCCTGCACAATTTTAAATTTGCTACTTTGCATATCTGTGCGCTTCACCATCGATGTGCTACACTGACATTATTTTTTTTAGAGTTTTTAATATTGAAAGTATGAATTTAACATAAAAGGTTTACTAAAAAACGTCAAAAATTTTCATATCATCTACTTCTGCATTCTGTGCCCCGGCAACTTTTTAGCCGGACAATGAGCAGAAGTGATACAATTTTAAACATTAAGTACTTTTCGGTAAAATTTTTATTAAGAACTTTATAGTTTAAATGGAAATTAAAAAGTTTTGTAAATTTGTTTTCGTCATTATAAAATTAATCTTTTTTTTAAATTATAATAAAGTAAAATAAATTAATTCTGTATGATTAATTCAAATTTGTACGGTTTACTTTGTTATCCAAACTGTAAAACATGGAATAATTACGCTTCTTTAAAATTAAGTTTAAATTTAAAATAAAATTGCTATCTTAAGAATCTTCTTGAGGTCGTTTACACTTTTTATTTAAATATTTAATTGTATTAATAAGTACTTGTATTAATAAGTGCACACATACATAATGTCTGTTTGATATTTTAGATAATATTCAAATAATTGTATTCCCACTCGTGTTTTGCTTAAAAAATTTTAAATTTTTTAGTATACTTTAAAATTAAGTATCTTGTTTTTTTTTCAAGTAAAAAATAATTTTAATCGTTTTTTAGGTGTAGACAACATTTTCTAAATCGCATATTTATTTGAAATTTCACCGATTTATATACCGCGACTGAATAGATTTATTAAAATTTAATTTTTAATGAATTTGGAATTTTTAAAATTTTTCTGACAAAAAAAAAGCATTACTTACATACATTTTCATGTCGTCATCTCCGTGACCGCCATGATTATGCATTGTGCTGTGGTCCATATTATGGTGACCCATGTGTTGATGGTCCATATGTTGATGATCCATTCTTTTGAATTATATATTTTTTATATGTAAATTTGTAACTAATATGAATGAGAATGTAACTATATAGGTACGAGAATAAAAACTATTTTTAATTTTTTTATATCGCTTATTCTTTAAGAAGTTATTAGTAGTTGAATTGTTAAATGTGAACTGTTTCAATTGAATAAAAAAATTGAATTTATTTCAAGGAACATTTTTAAGAAACATACATAAGTGAAAACTCAAAACCAAAATGTCTTATCTTGTGTTATTCGAAAGATAACATTATAAATAAATTTTATAGAAATATATAACATATATACGAATACATGTATTTATACTTATATATGTATACCTAGTAGTAAATATATATTTTGTTATCATTCATTTGAACAATTTTACAGGTCTTTCTTTCAACTAAAATGGATTAAAACGTACTGAAATGAAATATGATAAAATTTTCGCTCGTGCGGTTTTCGTTCAATGTTATACACAAAAATTTAACTTTTATCTATTTTGGTTTTTTATCTGTTTATTTTTACTCTATAATATTTTAAAACAAACTGTGTTTTTTGTATTATGAACAATATTTGAGTTAAAAATGGGACGGGACGGGATTTGGTTAGCCGCAATTTTTTTCTAAGATTTTGTCAAGTCCATCGTTAAATTTTTCTACATTTCTATACATTGTACTGAAATGTAACGGTATAAATTTATTGTACATAATTTGTATTTATTTCCACTGCTTACTATAGGATCAACTGCTTATTATTATTTTATTATTTAACAAAAAATAGAAAAAAAAATGGAAAAATATTATAATTTGATAATATTAATATTAAAGTTAATATTAATATTAAGTAAACTTAATATTACTCAATTTATCGCTTTTCATTGATTGAATTCCCAAAGAAAGCAAAAATAAAAATATTGTTAGATATTTTCAGCAGGTATACAATTAGTTTCAGTAACCTGAAAATCATCAAATTTTCATATTTTGTATAATGTTAATTGAAAAAAATTTCAATCAATAATTCTTAAATAAATTGCTTACATTACCGAAATGCAAAGCGAAAATAAAAGTATTTATAGATTCTTTTATGTTTAAATGGCATAAAGAAGCACGTCGCCCTTCAAAACTGAGAAATTTTCATTGAAATCCTATCATATCTGAGTTTTTCATCTATTTTTCTAATTAGTGGTTAATATTTTCACGATCTTATTTTTCGACGATGATATTTCAATTGATATGTTGAATATGTCACCGTTTTTTATTCTCATTATAATTGTGTCACACGTAGCTTTTTTGTACGTACATCTTGTGTGTCAATAACTCTTTTCAATTTTGAAATGTGTAGCTTATCCGATATTTTGCTGTTTAAAAAAAGACGGAATTGAACTAGAATGTCATATATAGTTCGCATTTCACTTGAAAATTTATGCAATTTTATCACATTTTCTTACTTACGAATTCATTTTTATGTATAAACGTACATTGCAGCATATACTCATATATGTAATAATTAGAGTTTACAAGGCGTCATAATGTGAGACTTACGGGAACATTAATTAATATTGCAATATATTTTGAAAAGAAATCTCTCAAAACATATAATTGTTTGATTCTAAAAACCCAATTTAATAGTGATAATTTATAATGAATTGATACTTTAAAATATCGTATTTAATAACAGCTGGTTAAATTTAAATTCATTCATCTAACACGTATATCGTAAATATATAGTTAATAAGAAAATAAAAGGCGTTTAAAAATTGCCAATATGTAATTATTATCCGTTCGATCTCACATCATAATTCATCATAAACATTATGGTAAATCGCAGTATTAAAAACTAAAATTGCGAAACGTATTCATTATAAAAGAACTCAAAATGAAATCTTGAAATAAAGAGAACAAATAAATATAATTTTAATATATGCATGTATTTTTGTGTATTTATATAAAAAGTAACTTTCAAATATAAACAAAGTATTTATGTGAATATTCTTGTAAATATTTTGAATACGTACATATAAAACTGAAATTTTCTAAGAAGAAAGTTCGGCATAGTAATTCATAATTTCAATGTAATTTTGTTTTTGCAACATTGTATGTAATTACTTGTAAAGCGTATATAGTAAATAAAAAAATATGAAATTTGAACGTGTATCGTTCAAAAAGTAATTGATATTTTCTATTTTGCTCTACAATTTTATTTAAATTAATATTCAATTATGTTCTTAGAATAAAACTGAAATTTTTACATTCTTTTCAATTGCTATTAAAAGTCAATTAGTATTGTATTGACCACCTATATTATATACGTTATTCCTGCAAACATTGCGATAACAGATCCACATTAAAAGCTTTAAACAAAGGTAATATCATTAAGTTAAAAGTCGAATTTAGTGGGTCATTAAAATTTATAATAATATAAAAATTTATATATATACAAGTATGTGTTAAAAGTCGTATCTAATCTGTAAATAATAATGCAAAAATAATGCAAACTTTTTATTAAAAAAATTAAAATGACCTATTCAGAGTATACAAGTAAAAAGAGATTGTTTGCGATTGAACGAAAATATAGTTCACAGTTACTAAGTGAAAAGTTTGTCATATAAAACTGTTATACAGATTTCAGTTTTTAATGAAAATTACAATTATATGTACAACAACACCGCAATTATGTTGAATGATTGAAGAATTGTATGCTCAATGATTTTTAACCCTTCCATCTTATTTCAGTAGCATCTTATTTTATGTATACATTCATATATTTTGTTTGTACTATTACACTTGTTATTGTTATAGTAAACCAATAAAAACGCTATTGTTTTATAATTCTTTGCTTTGTAATGTAGGTAGCTAATTTTATCTGAGTAATATTTGTCAAGTATTTTGAGTTATTATTTTATTTTAAAATTCAGTTTGCAGTGCATGGCATCAATTAAGTTTTAAATTCAGCTTGAAACAATAAGTTTGCAAACAAGAAATTTTTTAATTAAAAGCAAGTTAATCTTATATCAAGTCCTATTTGGCATACTTCAAGAAGTATAAAAAAGATTTAAAAAAATGTCATAATGGTTATGTTGAGCTCATTAAAAAATGAAGTTTTGAAAATGAACTATTTTAGTTACGGGTTCCGAAGATATGTTGCCTAAGAAAAAAAAAATATATACATATATATAGAATAATAGAATATAGCTCAAATAACAGTAAATTAAATTGATATTATTGTCATTGGTATTTCACGATAGTGAAGAAGGTCGTTATTTTCCTGTGTTTGGGAATTTTTAGAAAGTGTTGTGATTCTGATACAATAAATTACCAAAAAATATTATTTTTTGAATCATGATGAGCTATAGATTTTTTGGTAAAGCAATTTGTGTGCTTACATTAAAATACAGATTGTATATTAAAAGTTTTAGAAATTTAATAAGCTGATACATGCACATGGTCATCAGCATCCAGATGAACAATCGGACGTATGTGCGGATAGCCGAATGGATAAAATGAAATAAAGAGGTGTGTTTTTGCCCATTTCCTTTACAAACTTGCTAAAACGTTGAATTTCAAAGCGCTAGACATTTTATGCTTAAAGATACATGTATATATTATATTTCATGTTCACATATTATATTTGTAGTATTGCCGCTTGGTTTTTGCAGAACTACATTGTTAAACTAATTTAAATTTTAAACATGATTTATTTTCGTCTCACTGTCAAATCTACAAGTTTTCCATCCTATTGTTTAGTGTGATTATTATAATATTTTGCTTCGATTTCGTTCATGAAAATAAAATTTAAAAAATCATATTATTGATTTAACAGAATTAGAAAATCAAAAAATGAAAATAGAAGTTGCATTATATAAGTTGAATTTAAGAAGAAACAACAATGAAATTATGAAAATTACGTAAAGGTGTCAAATTTCATTTTATTATCCCATCAATGAACTCAAATTTATTATGTTAAAAAATAATACAAAATATACATATGTATGTATATATAAAGCATTAACATGTATATAATTTAAGTATATTGTACCAAGAATTTAATAATTAATATAGTAGGAACTTTAAAGAAAGAATTTTTATTCATATTTTTAATGTTTTCCTTTTGTGCCTTTTTCTATTCATCGTAAGTACGTTACTTCTAATAATGAAATTGAATGAAGTAAATAGCGGGTTTTTAGATTTAATTGTTTTTAAAAATTGTATATACTGTAAATTAAATATTTAATTAAAATAATATTTTATAGTAATAACGAAAAACAGAATTGTAAATTCATTAATAAATTATATTTTTTGTTTAGATTTAAAAAAAAGTTCATAAACCTCATAACTATACTATATAACTTTTCCATAGAATCATCTGAAACAACTCTAATATAACGTATAAGAAAAATATGTAGTTATGTGTTAATAATTATATAGACTTATGTTACGTCCAGATGAAGATGTTTTAATACAAAATATTTGTGGTCATTAGCGGATGAATGCTAGACATTTATAGTTTAGGTGACTCCAATGAACTAAGTGCGAGTGTAAAACATAAGCAAGCACAAATTTTGATTACAGCGTCACAATTTTTTTAGCATAATTACTGAATAATTATACACACTTCATATTTTGTTATGATACACGCGAATATATATAATTATTAAATAATTTTATATTTTAATCTTAAGGAGGAAAATCTACTAACTCAAATGCAAGTATAACTTTATTAATTTATTTAGTGATCATGACTTACTCAATTTATTTCAACAATATTTTATAATATTTTGCACCAAAGGTTGTTAGTTTTTATTTTGTTTTGTAAATTTTAAATATCACAATGTTAATTAGAAAAGATCTTTTTTATTCAAAGGGAATTTTAAGTTTTTACACGTTGGTATACAATATTAATAATTGAATCAAATAATTTCCTCTTTTAATCTTTCGTTATCGTTTTCATTGTCACTATTAATTTAGTATAAAATTAATAAGCTCGCAGAGATCTTTAAGTTGTTGAACGTAAAACAGCTATGAAACAACTTTTCGATAATGTTC